CGCTAATTCCATACCGTTGTCTCTGTACCGTCCTGAGTAAAGGCTTGCTATCAGGACCGCTCTCTTGCCTTCTTCTGCTTATTAGTGGGGTTCGAAATACTGGGCCATAACAACTGGCGACGCCGAACTAACTGGGCTATAACACATCGTAATAGACGTTTTGCTGAAAATTTTGGAGTGATACTTTCAAAATAAAGCGTTGCTCTCTCTTTCTCTCTAATCTGTAACACTTTTCAAGTTGGGTATATTGCATGTAAATGTATGTGCACGACTTACCGGAACGGGTTCAGACAGGAAAGCGATGACTGCCTTCTCACCGATCATGTTCACACTGCTGCGCTCGAAGAACACCTCAGTTGTATGACGGTAGACGTCACAATCTCTTTAGTCGGGGAGGAGATAAGAATACAATCAGCCACCTAAACTGAAGTCTGCTCAAGGGATCTTAAAACTGCTGTCATAAGGAGAAATTCTTAGGAAACTGATGGGTGCGAAGAAAAGTATTTGGAAGATGGAATGGCGATGTTGTAACCTAGTGTGTTCCTGTGTCAACACGGGTTATGTCCCCCACTCTGTTGCAACTTCATCTGCTGCTGATGCTGCTTCGGCATCTGTTACTGCTGTTGCGTCTGTCGCAACTGCTTCTGCTGTTTCTGTTGTTGATGCATCGGTGGCTACTGCTTTTTCTGCTGCAGTTGCCTCTGTTGTTGCTTTTATGCTCATGTCCTCCAGCCACGTCCTTCTGTCATCACTGCCGTTGAAGGTTGCGTGATTTGGCCCGTTCTGTATGCACCGGACTGGCCTGAGTACACCAGTATAAACTACGGTTTTTAGGTGCAGATCGAAGGTTGATATGGGCATTTGAGCCGAAGGCAAATAGCCGAAGCAAGATATATTCATAAAACTACCAACAGGCAGATACTAGGTTGGCAACACTGGCTAAGGGACTCACTGATGTACCGAAACTCCCGTAGCTGTGTCATGCGGTGGCAGAATATCGACGAAACATGCGTGTCTGGGCTTATAGTTAGTACCTGTGCCGTCAGAATGATGTATTGTGCTACCCCAATAGCCACGTCAAGCATTTTGAGCGCATGTCAGAAAGTGTGAAGTCTGAAAGAGACACCGCAATTGGTCACTTTCGAGGTACACAACAGTCGACAATGTAATTAAAATACTGAGGGTTGAATCCTCCTCATTAATCAAGGTGGTTTAGGTAGGAGAAAACGACGTCCAGTCTTCATTCAAGGGGAGGAAAGAAGGGTGGCTGCGGACTGCAAATAACGCTCGAGTTCTAGTGTACAGATACACATCACCACCAACTATCGGAAGAGGGGACCAACAACAGATCCAAAGAACGAGAGGAAATACCATTGCAACACATCCTTCATAAGACCCTAATATAACGAAGAAAAGAAGAATAAAAGGCTACAGTAGAATCCCGATCTCATGAAGGGTAGCGCGAAATTCTCAAAATTATTTCCAAATCGAACAAATTATTTAGGTAAGGTTTTCAAAAATGATTATCCCTGACGTTAATCACATGATATTTCAAGAATATCAGGGAGCCAGCTTTTGAACGAACTTTATTCTGACCGCCTGGAAAAAATATACGCTGTAAAAATGGCTACTTAAGCAGTATGCATTTTTCTAATTGATTTTCAACAATCTTCTAAATCCAAGTATATTGTATAGAAACTCTACAAAAAATATTTCTTTTGCACTCATTGGGTGGCCAATTACGCCTTCTTCAAATCTCATACTTGATGAAAGGGTAGTTTATAAATTATAAATTAAATTTGAAGCTCACCGTTTGTTACACTTGAATGCAAGGTTCCCAAACTACATGTTTTATGCATCCTGTCTAATGTACATATTAACCTATGATATGAGGAAGGGTTTAAATAATTCTCAGCAATCTTTGCAGTAGATATGAAACATGTTGCGTATTCCATGGGCAACATTAATATATTGACAAGTACGATGCATTATGTCCGAAAACTTCAGAGCCGTTAAAAGATATCACAATTCGAAACTTTTAAATTAAAACCATAGGATACCCTTTCCTTAAGTATGGACTTTGAAAAAGTCCCAGTTGGTTATTAAACAAATGCAAGAAAGAATAATTTTGTGGATGTTTTCTATGAAATGTAGTTAAATTTATAAAGGCAGCGAAAGTAAATGGCTAAAATGCATACTACTAAAGTAAACATTTTTTCACAGAATATACTTTTTGCAAGCGGTCAGAAATGGGCTTGGTAAAAATTGGCATCCTGAATTGGCCGAAGTGTTTATGGATTAGGCTCTATGATACTCCGTCTTACAACCCTCTCAAATGTCAGTTTGCGAGTCATTATCAAAATTTCGCAAATTTCGGCCTTTTCCTCGAGTTTGGACTCGAACTGTTGGTGTTTTTTTCAAGTCCAAAACACTTCCGAATTTTCATTAACAGTTTATGAGGTACCCCATCTACTGTACATATTATTCCCCATTTTGCCTCTTTCTGAATGTCAGAATGTGTTTAAATGTGTATTTGACGAGGACACAGCGAATTGATGAGGAACAGTAAACTGCACCTTCGTCAACATTAATGCAGCTTATTCACCAAAAGAGGTGAATATGAAACTACCCTGTTCCCGTTAAAAAAAAGTAAAGCAGAAATTAATCAGAAATTATATTTATAGGTTTTTTTAGTCATACGAGAGTAATACTCGGAGCCAGCGAATGACCAGTGACACGTTCAACCCTTTTTTTAGCATTGCACTGCTTGCCAGTGACACGGGTTTGCAGTGGGAAATGAGGTCGCGTCATCTAACAGTGACTACGCACAGAGATTCTGCGTATATGAGAAATTCAGTGCTACAGCGATACGTACCTAGCTAGCGCGAGACGAGCAGTCTGAGGGGAGGGGGTATTGGTTTTCATGGCGCAAATAGCTCTCCAAGTACATTGACTAGATCTCACAGATGCTGAGTCAACAGATACATGAGCATGAACTGATGGTTTGAAAAAATGGCTAGTTGTTCTATATCATTACTGGACCTTTTGCTGTAGCCTCTATTGTTGATTCGGTATGAGATCCGAATCACCTATTGCTTTGTGGAAGCCCGGTATATTGGATGGAAGATGAGGGCGTGTGTAGCACGCGTAGATGGGTTGCTCACCTTTGACAGCCACTACAACCCCAGTCGTCTTGACATTGTCTGGCCATCGGAGCTTAGTGTGTGGGGGAGGAGAGAGTGTGGTAGGTGCTGCACACGTTTGCCTCAGTACACCCTAATTCGCGTGCTAGGCACCGATGTTGTGCGGTATCTGTGGGCAGACGCAGGACGGCTTTAATTCACTCCCGCTCTCTTCTCTCGCCCGATTTATTTGGAAGACATGACAATATTACGATGAGCAAAGGTGAGCTGGCGTGAAATGATCAATAAAACTAACCAGCCCGTCATCGCGTTCCACACACAGTCCGGCCTCCACAACATGGACCAGGATCTAATGGGGACGTATAGTCATCCCCGTAGCATCTTACACCTCCCATGCTACGCCATGCATGAGGTCACGTGATTTAAACGCTCGGCCTACCTCTAGGACAGCTGCAAACTCCGCGCGAACGATCGCTTGTGCGGCCACTAGCATGTGCGCACTTGTAGGCCGTCGTGAGGGTGCTATATTAGCAAAATTTGCAGGAAGCAATTGAAACAGGAGTCTCCGCCCTCCAAAATACTTCCACAAAAACCAAGGTTTTCCATCAGTTGTCAGTCTTCAAGGCCACGCGTTGTAGGACGTCATTAGATATTCCACCATACAAGATTTATTATGGTGAGGAAGGTGCTATGTTTCAGTAGGGCTACAGCCCTCCGAACTGGCTTTACTCTTGATTACCTCCCCCAAGCAACAGTTTGCATTCCGAGCTTCTCTGCCATTTGGTGAGGGGATGGCTTCCCTATGTACAGACAGTCTGTAGGCTGTACAGGTAGACTGCAAGTGAACAGTCTTCATTAAAAGTTGGCCTTCGTAAAACTAAAAAAAAATATATCAATTGAACTGGCTAGAT